ACTAATATACCATCAACGTAACTTCCTGTTGTAGCATTATGGTCTGGTCTGCACGTATATAGCGCTTGACATAGGTTCTACAAAGCGCCTTACACTGTTTCTCATTCGTACACTCACACACCAAAGACACTCACATATCAAAGGTAGCAGAACTACCATACCTGCCACTAGTTCAGTGTCTTGATTCAGTGACACTTGATTCAGTGACACTTCAGCATGTGGAGTCATGTGGGCCAGGAATTGAACCGCCAACCCTACAATTAGTGGACAACCTGCTCTACCACCTGAGCCACAGCCTAGATGATCTCCCAGTTTATTCTGTGTTTTGGTAGCAGCTCAGAAAAAAGCTGGCTGTCGCAGCCAAAAATTTCACATCGTAATAGAAGTCTTTGGTCTTGAATAGAGATTGTCCGTCTTAAAAAGCACAATGTGACAAGCTCACTGCTGATTTCGTACTATTGTAACCAAAGACAGCCAACGACAACATTTCTGGCAGTATCAGAAATGGCTGATTCAAATCTAAAAGTGTAACGAGATTTATTTCATGATTAAATTCTGAGTTGACTGTTTAAATTAAAACTTCATACATTGAAATGCTGGACTGTTTTCTCTTTGGTTAACGATTAATGATGATGGATGTTTCCTACATTACCCCCAATACTGTTTAACTACCCACTGATAATGGTGCCAGAAAAAATTCATAACGCTTGAGAGTAATGCAGCAGCACTTTAGTCCTTTAGTTTCTCCAGCTCTCTCACCTAGTCGCCTTTACACTGTGCTCAAACAGATAAGGTTCCAAATCTTCAACTTTCGTGCTAACACCACAGTCAACACCGTCGAGCTTGTCATCTTGTAGATTGCTAATGAGCTGAGCCATGTCTCTGCCATAACTCAATTGTGTCATACAGCTGCACTGCATTCTGGAAATTAGTCTCCACTATTTCTAATTAATATGACATTGAATGTCACTGGAAAAACGGTGAGCGGGTAAAGGAACTCTTGCTCCTTTGTTTTTAACTATGAAATCTGACCATTATGCCTTAGATCCATGATTGAAATGTTTCCACTATTAAACTCCGTTGTAACTGCACTAACAATGTCTCCCTGCAGTGTCTGTGTGGCACCCAACCACTAACTTCTCACAGGAATAACAAAAACACAGCACCAGCTAACAAATTAGCACCAGAATCACTAAATACAGTGTATGTATAATATAATATGAAATATTTAGATATAAATATATTTCAGTCAACCTGATACTTGAAACGGATTGAAAATTGCATTTGAGTGGATAAGTGAGTGTGTACATAAGATCAATCATGTAAATGTCATCAGTAAAACAGAAGAATCAAGAGGACATGATAAGCTGATAAGCTCCGGCATTCAAACATTCAACCAAGCAAACTGTGACCATTCAGAGACGTCACATTGCTCTAAACTTTAAAGCCGACCAATTACCTGAATTTCTGATCTACATCACGCCCCAGTGATCAGGCCTATCCCATAGCAAGGCTGGACCCCAAAGTAAATCATTAAGCTCCTGAGCTGTAGCTTATTTATAAGATCCCATGTTGAACTTTAGGCCTGCACTGATATTGGTCAACATTTCAGTGCAGGTGGTGTATCGCTGGGAAAAGATATGTAGGAAATAGTACATTCATGCTACATTTTGGTCTGATATAACTAAAGCAGTATTACAGCATACTGCACATCTGTCCTTTGAGTGAGACAGTACACCTTCAGGTTAACCTTTAACCTCTTTATTGATTACAACTTTTTCTCATCATCCTACCAGTTCTACGGTGCTCAGTGGATCCTGATGCAAAGTTCATCTCTCTGTGCTGAACAACCTGAGCACTAACGTCTGTGTTTGGCTTGAAACGGTCCTGAAGACTCATTTGTCATCGTTGCTGGATAATTCAAAAGCACTATGGCGAAGTCTGGATATGGCTACTACAGAACTACTATTTTCCTTGCCATGTTTGTGGGCTATACATTGTACTGCTTCAACAGGAAGACGTTCTCCTTTGTAATGCCTTCTGTGATGCAAGAGATCAAGTTGGATAAAGATGACTTGGGTAGGAGCACATCATTTTATTGAACTAGTTATTCTTACACCAATCTTGTATGCATCTTTAAGAGTTCTCAATTTGAGTACATCCACAACTATGTGGTGTACTAGAAACCTATATCTAATAAATAAGCCTATTGTAAGTTTGGAGTGGGTTTGAGTTTCCATTTTCCATCATGACAATCAATGTCTGGCCTTTGGTTTTGATGTGGCTTTGTGTTGCATGTCCAGAGCTTCTAATTATCTTAAAACAAAAGTTGACATCAGTTAAGCCACCCTGAAATGAGAGATGACATCATTTTCTCATATCCTGTCTCACACTTTTCAGAGACGCACTCTGAAATATAATCATGCTTCACAGCAGCATAAAGAATTCTTGTTTTATCTTTTCATGTCGCAGGTCTTATCACCAGCAGCCAGTCTCTGGCCTATGCTATCAGCAAGTTCATTAGTGGGGTGCTCTCCGATCAGATAAGTGCTCGATGGCTTTTCTCTATTGGCCTCTTCATGGTTGGTGGCATCAACGTGCTGTTCTCACAGTCCTCCACTGTGGTCATGTTCTCTGGGCTCTGGTTCCTGAATGGACTTGGCCAGGGCTTTGGGTGGCCGCCATGTGGAAAAGTGCTCCGTAAGGTATGGACTTTAGGAAATAGATTATATCATTGATAAATTGCCCAAACAGTGCCCTGGCTGCTTCAGGATGATCTCTGGATTTACTAACATAAATTATGATAATAGATGGTGGTTTAGATGGCGGTTTAGGTACAAATTGGTCATTTTATCAGGTACACCTACCATAGGTAGGCGCATCAGTAGAAATGTTGGAACACTTGACAGGTTAAGGCATTGGGCTTACTGCTTTAGACAGTTTTTGTTCTTGAGAACAATTTTCATCCTATAGGTTTCCATTGGGTCCCCTGTCTACATTACATACACCATTGTGACATTATACATATAGTTAAAATTATTGACTGTAGCCCATCTTTAATTATACACAGGGATGTAATTGAATATAAATACATTATTCTGAATGAACAGATAATGTGAGATAATGTGTTCTAAACAGATACAAATACAGATACAACTAGAGGGTGCACCTGTTGTTATTGTTTTTATGGTTATTTTTTCGATCATCAGTGGTTGGCTCCAGTAGCCTGACCTAAACAGTTCCTTAGTGACCATTGTTCTATACACATTGGCCTGAAATTCTAAAAAATGTGCTTTTATCTAGAGAGCTGATGCTTGCGGACATTCATTGCACTTGTTTTTTTTTATCGTTATGAACGTTCACAATCATTATAAAGAGAAAATCTTAAACATACAGACATTATAATGAAATGCTGTTTAAAGGACCCCATTTTGACTAGCATCAGCACTTTGTGCAGTGTGCCCAACAAACTGTTCTGATCTTTTTGGAATGTAACAAATCCAAGTACTAAAGAAAATCTTAATAATAAATGTATTAGGTGGATGTTCTTACCTATGAAACAGTTTCCTGATTTGGGAATGGCGTTATTTTTTTAAATGTTTTGTGTGTTTTGTATGTTTTGTGATTGAAGAATGACTTCTTTTACATGCAGCCCTGGGGTGTTTTCAGTGTTTTCCTATATTTCTGGGGCATGTAGTGCTAGGGTCCACATGCAAATAAAAGTAAATAAATGAATAAATAAATTTCTGGTCTAGACCATGCCTCCTTCAGGCTTAAATCCAGATACGGAGGTTTGGAGCACTGTACAGATACAGATAGTGACATTACATTACACCCCTATTAAACACAGCCTGTCAGTCCCCACTTTACTCTGCTCAGATATTCTGTATGTGGTGGACCGTTTTTAGCACAGCAGAAACACGGACATGGTAGTGTGTATGTTGTGTATAGCAACAAACAAACAAACATTATACTGTCAGTAAGAGTATAATGTACATACAAAATGCATGGTAGGTGAAAACTGATAGAATTACCAATGAGTGTAAGGTAAGTGAAAGGTTTATGTGTAAGGTTTACCTAAAAAAGTTGAGCTTTAGCAAATATGTGGTGATTTGATGCTTTTCTTGTTCACTGTACCAAAAGCCACCCTGCTACTGACAACCATTCCTGAGTATGACTTTAATGGATTTACTGAAATTCCCCAGTGTGACTCTGTTTTCATCATTTCAGTGGTTTGAACCATCTCAGTTTGGGACGTGGTGGGCAGTGTTGTCCTGCAGTATGAACCTGGCTGGTGGATTGGGGCCAATCATTGCCATGCTTCTGGCTGAAAGCTACAGCTGGAGGTTTACTCTATCCATCTCTGGCCTGACTTGCGTGGTCGTGTCAGTCTTCTGTCTACTGGTGATCCAGAACGAGCCTAAAGATGTTGGACTGCCCAATATAGAAGCTAGTGCAAAGAAAGGCAAAGCAGGTTTGAGCATGTTTGTCTGTTCCTATAACATACAATAAGCAATTTTGAAACTGTGTTACTGTGCTTTGTTTGCATTAAGCATTGTACCAGATAACTGGTGTAGGACATTTCTAAACTTTACAAGCTTCAGCAGAAATCTGTTGATAAGAGCAGTTTGCCACCAGAAAATGGCCATTTTCTGATACTTGGTCTCTATAGATTGTAGATTAGGACTTTTAAAGAAATAAATGAAGATGTGCTTCATGCCTATTTTCTATTTACTTCATGGTAGTTTTCCATGAGAAAAACTGATCTTGCACAGTTGAGTAATGGACTCTGTACCAGTGGGTCCCTCGTGAGGTAAACATGGACATTGGAGGTCACAGTAAAATATGCTCACTCACAGAAAATGTAGCAAACTGTAGCTCACCATTTCAGCAGTTTAGATTAAACCTCACTTGGTTATTCCTCACCATGATCAGCTTGCTGTCAAAGTGAAAACTGTTTCTGAGAATAATGTCAATCACATGCAGAATATGGAAGGTGTACCCTGGTGGTCCAGCGGCTAAGGATCCCACGCTCTCATTGCTGTGGCCTGGGTTCAATTCCCAGGCAAGGAATCAACCCAGCTGGAAACCAGTCCACTGGGTTGCACTCGGTGCCGGTTGCACTCGCTCCCTAAAATGGGAGGGTTGCATCAGAGAAGACAATCAAAATAAGCGGATGAACAGCTGAAATAACAACAACGTGCATAATTTGGTTACAAGTTGCTTCTTAGATTTATGCTCATTGCAACCAACCACTGTAATACCTCATGTGTAGCATGTGTTCAGTTACTGCAAGCAACCATTCTGATGTGTTTTTCTATACTGAGAGAGAGAGAGAGAGAGAGAGAGAGAGAAAGAAAGAAAGGAAACAGAACACCCATTTACTTAAAACCCTTTGATAGTAAAAGTCTAAGGGAACTTATTGGGACAGTCTATAAACATTTAATGCTTTAAAGAATGCTTCAGTCTTCTTCTCCTCCAAGTCTGTATCATTCATATATAACCTGCTTAGGGAGTGCAGGTGGAAACTGTCTTCTTATACTCCTCTCATATCTAGTGTCTGGTGTTCTTTTTGCCAGTGAGTTGTCATTATGCCAAAAGCTAAAGAGTTCTGTAAGTCCTTCAGAAAAAAAGGTTGTGGATGCCTATGAGTCTGGCAAGGGATTTCAAAAGATCTCCAAATTATTTGAAATATATCATTCCACTGTAAGGAACATAATCTATTCAAGCACCCCAAACAATATACAGGACCTAAGCACTCTAGCAAATCCACTAAGGAATATCTCAAAATTAAGAAATGGAGGGTTATGGAGGGTTATGGAATGGCCTAGTCAAAGCCCGGATTTGAATCCCATTGAAATGGAGGATTTGAAAAGGGCAGTACATGCAAGAAAACTCTCAAACATCTTACAACTGAAAGAATATTTCATGTAAGAGTGGTCAAAAATTCCAGCAAGCCTGGTGAACAATTATGCAGAATGCCTACAAGACGTTATTTCTTCTAACCAGGGTAATACTAGCTTCTGAGGCCAAGGGTGTACTTACTTTGTGTAAGGTTTAGGGTATTGTTCAAGTATATCAACTTTATTAACAGGATATGATTCAGAGGATTAAATGCTTGCTTGGAAGTTTCCTTGGGGTGTACTTATTTTTACACATGGCATAGTTATAGATGTATGAATGTATGGATGTATGTGTATAGGGTGCACGGTGGCTTAGTGGTTAGCATGTTCGCCTCACAGGGTCCGGGGTTTGATTCCCGTGGCTCTGTGTGCGTGGAATTTGCATGTTCTTTCCGTGCTGCGGGGGTTTCCTCCGGGTACTCCGGTTTCCTCCCCCAGTCCAATGACATGCACGGTAGGTTGATTGGCATGTCCAGAGTGTCCGTAGAGTGTGAATGGGTGTGTGAGTGTGTGTGTGATTCTGCGATGGATTGGCACCCTGTCCAGGGTGTACCCTGCCTTGTGCTCAATGTTCCCTGGCATAGAGTCCAGGTTCCCTGAAGCGTTATAGAAGATGGATGGATATACATGTATATGTATGTCATTCATATTTTAAAAGTAAATCATATTTTGTCTATTTTCAGGCTCCAGAAGGGATGATAGCACCTTGAGGGAGTTCCTTCTGTCTCCGTATCTCTGGTTACTGTCATTTGGCTACCTGGTAGTGTTTGGCGTCAAGACTGCTTGCACAGACTGGGGACAGCTCTTCCTCATCCAGGACAAGGGCCAGTCAGCATTAATGGGTACTGTGGATTGATTTATCGACGTATTTCCATTGGTAAATATTAATAGAAGCAGAGAGAAACAAGAAAAGTTAAGAGTGCAGAAGCCTTTCACAGAAACCCTCCAACTTCTGTATTTGCATGTAGCAGCATCAATCATGGAGAAATGAACCCTGACATTAAGGTTTCATAGCTTGAAGTTTGACATGAGTCTGTCTTTTTCACAGGCAGTTCTTACATGAGTGCCTTGGAGATTGGGGGGCTGGTGGGCAGTTTAGCTGCTGGATATCTGTCAGACAGGGCTGTGGCACGGGTGAGCTCACACTCTTAGGATCCGAGAAATTATCATGGGAAATCATCTTATATGTGTGTGTGTGTGTGTGTGTGTGTGTATGTGTGTATGTGTGTGTGTATATGTGTGTGTGTGTGTGTGTGTGTGTATATATATATATATATATATATATATATATATATATTTTTTTTCACATTATTATCTCCAGCAAGGACTGCATGCATACGGTAACCCACGGCATGGTCTCCTACTGTCAATGATGGCAGGAATATACGTCTCCATGTACCTCTTCCGAACCACGGTCAGTCACGAAAGCTCAAATGTAAGTTTAAGACTTTTTCAGTCATTTAAAACAAAGTTTATTTGTAAAAAAAAAATTAAAATAAAATAAATAATAATAATAATTTAGTGCGATGCCCATGATGTTCTGGAGACAAATACATCATCAGTAAATGTGTTGCGAAGTAGGGGGAGGGGGGAAATGGAAGCCTCAAAAGTGTAAAAAGCACTTGCCTCATACCTTATGTAGTTTTAAGTTATTTTTACATTAAGTCAACATGAAATACTTCATTAGCACTTTGTTTAAACTACCACACAGGTTTGGATTCTCTCTCTGGGTGCTGTTTTTGGCTTCTGTTGTTATGGACCAATTGCTCTGTTTGGAGTCATTGCTAATGAGAGCGCTCCTTCCAACTACTGCGGAACGTCACATGCTATTGTAGCCTTGATGGCAAATGGTAAAGTCTTGTAATGAAATCACTAACATTTTAAATTAGCTTCCAGAATTCCTAAATTCTGATTTTATTATTATATCTTATATTAAATAGAGTGGTACTCTTAATGGCTTAATGAATATTTTGCCAGAAACCTTTAAAGATGTGTCTTGATGATGTTTTGTTTTTCTTGCCAGTTGGAGGTTTTCTTTCTGGGTTGCCATTCAGCACTGTTGCAAAACACTATGGCTGGGATACAGCATTCTGGGTAGCAGAGGTAACCTGCGTCGTCACTACAGTTAGCTTTTTCCTCCTCCGTAACATCCAAACCAAGATGGGACGTGCTCTGAAGAAGACTGATTGATCAACAGTGTTACTAGAGCTTCTTGAGTTTTTAACCACAAAGTGGTGTATCCAACACTTACAGTATGATTTCTTGTAAAAAAAATAATAATAATAAGAAGAAGAAGAATTATTATTGCCAGTATATTCAATGTAAAATTAATAGACAGGATTATATTGTACATGCAAAGCAATATTTGTGCTAGTATTGTAAAATCAAAAATTGTATTATCCCAGGAAGTGAAGTTTCTCTAAATATCCTTAAACTGGTTCTGGAATAGCCATGAAACCCTATGGAGATTATTTGAAGGGTGTTATGCTTTGGGGAAACTTATTCTTAGCACCTGAAAGGAATAAATGTTCAGGAATAAAACAATTTAAACACCATGTCAAAGTACATCTACACACAATTAACTTCAAAGTTACAAATTGTGGGCTTACAGTGGAAAACGTATTCCTTTGAACATATTTTAAGGATGCACAATTTGTGCTGTATAATGTGTAGATACTCGCCCTTTTTCTACTTTCAACCCATTTTCCATAGTGAATAGTTTCACAGATATAATTATAAAAATCAGTATTTTGATAAGTAACAAATCACTGTGTGCAAGTTATTTTAAAGAAGTAATTATTTTAAAAAATTTATAATTCCAAGTGCCAAGTTAAAACTACTTCCAGCATGACTAATTGTTCATTTATTTTGCATTCAAGGAGATAGAGGCTTAACAACTCCAACTGACATTGAGGCAACTCAACACGGTTCTACCTCTTTATTGGTGCTATAAGTTTATATGTGGTGTTATGGAAATAAAAGTTTTTTCAATAATGCAATGAAAATATTAAATAAAGATGTTACAAACATCAGATTTTGAAGTCTGATTTCTAATCTTTCAATGGAATCCTTATTTATCGAGTCATGGTTAAACAGAAAGGGTTTGGACATATTATATAGTATGATGCTAGAAACACAAGGCTGTGGCTACCAATATACAAGTACTTTGTTTCTGCCATTCCAACAAAATTTGATATATAAAGTCCATTTGCTCTAACTGCTCCCATTGACTTAAGCCATTAATACAGCTCTGATTTATCAACCATTTTGGGTTCCATGCCGATTTAGTCCACATTTTTGAAAGATGGTTTGGATAATCCACATATCAGGAAACAATCCATATTATATACAGTTAGTTGGTTGCATCAAACACGTGGCACGTCTGCTCAGGAACCTGTCCCAAATGTACCAGCCTTCTCTGCTACTTCCAGAGCGCTCTTTAGATTTTGGTCAAAGAGTTCACATCTGAAATAAAATGGAACCATATTCATAAATACTGATTTTGGATGAATTTATAATGTTAATGTCTAAGAATAAACTACATACTGTATATAACACAATAGCACCAACCTGATGGGCATCTCCAGAGAGTAGAAAGGATTCTTTAAGGCAAAGTCTGAATAGATTTCATAGATCTTTCTCAGGAGCGCGTCAACACCGGACTGGCGAGGATCTGCTAGTACGATGAACTTGATCCCTGTGAAAGTTTGACTAGATCTAAATTATTAATCGTAGGTAAGCAATCACTCACTATAGCCAATCTGTTGCTATGCACAATTTGTCAGCACTTGTCTACTCTATCTGTCTGAAAAAAATAAAAACTATTACTAGGGTGGTGGATATATATCAACATAGTAGTGACCCACTGATGTGCTAGCAGTGTATCAGAAGCGGTGTTGGTACTGGGTTGGGAAACAAATAATTAAAATGGAAACAGTCCATTTAACAAAAATACACATCCAGTACAGTTTCTGTTGTGAGAAATTGAAATTGATAAAGGGCTGGAGGATGATTTTTACATCAGGAGGTGTATAACTGTACAAACAAATAAAAAGAAACAATACAGGAATGTCTAATATATCTGTCCCTCCAGGATTTTGGGATTGCAGAACTTAATGCAAAATCAAGCCAACTCTGCAATATATGGAGGAGCTTGCAATTTTTCTAAAT